TTTAGGAGAGCTCGGAAAATCAATTTGGTTGACCTAAAAAAAAGTCGTCAAAATTTTCGAATTTTTTTTGAAAATCCGCCCCCCCCCCCCCTCGAGAAAATCCTAGGTTCGCCCCTGTGACGCAGGATCGTTATTTTTCGAGCGTATTGATCCCTGCCATACATGTTTTCAGTCACCAACCGAAGAATTTATGGTCATTTCTCTCACCATATTTGATCGTTTTGAACGAAGCAAATTTCATTTTAAAGTATATTGGAATTAATCTGTGTATGATAAATTGATGTTTTTTACCACAAAACCGCCAAAGTAGACCAAAGTCAGTAAAAGTCGATCAGGATCAACAACACAGATTTTCTGACCAACAAAATTGCAAGAGGGCAAATATTGATCCTTTTGATTGCTGTACAATTCGACTGCTTCAACAAAAGTAGCCCTTGTTGTACCTACATTTCAAACTCTCGCAATCAATATCTCGCAATAAAAGCTTACCTCATTATATTCTGATCCTACTTATTGTAAGTCTTATAAGCTATAGTTTATAATCCAGTAACGTGCTTGATTTTAAAAAATAAAATTTGAACTGCATTAGAGGATCGGAAAATGATAGCATGATTTTGGTGACTAAATCTTTCTGCAAACATTAAACCCGGCTCGATTTTGAGATATTTTGAACACACAAATTAAAAATATGACGAAACGCAAAATTCTAAAAATTTAAATTTTAAGCTACCAGTTTCGTGAATTGCCGAGCGTAGCTCTTTCACTAAATAGACAGTTAAATCTTACCACTTAAATTTGTCATGCAACTCCTTATTAAATTTGGAATTTAATTTCAACGTATTTGACGGAAAGGGATCCCATCTGTGCATCAAGAGTTGTCTGATAAATGTAAGTGCTAAGTTTTAACTGTCTATTTAGTGAAAAAGCTCTGCTCGGCAATTTACACAAATAGTAACTTAAAAAATTATTTTTAGAATTTTGCATTTAAAATTTTTTAAATTTGCGTGTTCAAAATAACTCAAACTCGACCCGGCTTAATAATTGCACAAACATTTAATCACAAAAAATGAAATCATGAATTCCCCAGTTGGTTTTTGTTTCAATTTTTTTGTCACAATTGGTGAATTTTTTTGTTTATCAGCTTTTTGAGGCTCAGAAAAGATTTTAATAGAAGCTTGCGTTCTTCTAAAACGCTAATCATCAAAAATTATCGTTGAAACCCTTCAAACTAACTCTAAAAATTGCAATGCAGAGGGTTGTGCGCGTTCAGGAATTTGGGCATCGAGTATGCTTCATTATGGTGATCCCCTAGTCACTCGCGGCTAGAGCTGCATTTAAGTTTAAACTGGTTTCTAAAACTATAATTTATATCACACATAAATATAATGTATAATCTACAAATCATGCAAACCTCAATTGCTGTCAGTTTTTGAGTTTTTTGCAAGTATAACAAGGATAGCCAGTTACTGTTCAAGTAGCTCAGAGTGTTCCCAACACAGTCTTTACAAAATTACACAAAAAATTCAAATTAGTGTAGTTTTTCTGCGTGGAGTGATTAAAGGATCTGATATAAGACTTTAGTGTAGTCATGTTCGTCACTCTGATTATTATGGGCAAATTGAAAAAAAATACGTAGAAGAATTATAGAAAAACTAAAAAAAAACAAAAAAAGTAAAAAAGTATGTTTCAAAACATTTTTTTCCAGTTTTTTTTTTGCGGGAAAGTTTTGAATTTTTAAAAATTGTTGTTACCGAAATGGTTATAAAAAATCTAAAAACTAACTGCCTAAAATTAAGTTTTTAGGGCTTAATTTAGGCATAGTGAATTTGTTTTAAGCATTCTCGCTCGCTTCATGCGCTCAAAAATGAAAAGAAAATCGAAAATTCTAAAGCCTGTTTGTCTCAAGGCTGAGACAACTTTTTGAAATTTTTTATAGCGTTCAAATCACGACTTGGTATACCACTTGACACATTCCGATGATTACTTGTGGTTCCTGATTTTGCGTGGAAAACCAAAAGAAAGAAGAAAAAAGGACTATAAAAACTAAAATAATGTTTTGAATAACAAGAAAAATTAACATAAAAACTTGAGGTCTTTTTTGTTCTGACTCTTTGAAACTTCTTCAAATTTTTCAAGCGGTCGGAACAAAAATGGCCTCAAGTTTTTCAATAAAATCCTCTTGTTATTCAAAATTTTATTATTTTAGGATGCTTCTAACAACTATTCAAAATCTGTCTAAATTAATCCTTGTAAAATCTTACAGTTTTTGTAAGTTTTATTTTGAACAAAATCAGTCCTGAAAAAGTAATTTTGCTCTCAAAATTTGTATTTCATTATTTAACCAGGATTTGTGGGAAATAAGCAAACAGCCTACGCTTAGACAGGCCTGATAGCCTTTCATGGATACTCTCCTTATCGGAGAAACATCAATTATTAATCATTTCTATGAATCTCCTGAGAGTTCAAAATAAAAAATCAGGCTAATATTCAAATTAGATTAAGTAGTCGGACCTATCCGGTCGAATATATTATAGCGGCAGGCGGACGAAGAAACAGAGCGGAAATTATTCTTGCAAGTAATTTCCTCTCAGACCCATTTCATATTCATCAGTTTCTGTTCCGACTTTTAAAAGTTACAAAACTACCCGTAAACCGAGCAAAACCCTGAATGCTCCGACTACTCTTTAAATTATATCGAATAGTTTTTGGGAAAAAATTTTGAGAAACTATAAGTTTTGGACAATATTAAAGATGAATTGTGAAAGTTTGAGTCGTACGAAATAATACGACCAAAAATCTAGCATCAATTCAATTTGGAACTATTTCGTTTTCCGCGATAAATCGCCACGCTTAAATAATTCGTTTTACCACTTTAAAGCGCACATAAATATTTAAAACGCACATAAATTATTCTTGAGCATGGCCAAGTTGGCAATTTTCAAATACCCTTAATTTTTCAAAAAAGATCTAAAATAACATTTGATTTTAAGGGGTAGATATCTTCAATGCGGTATAAAAAGTTTTTTAAAGCTATTGTTTTGATCGCCAAAAACTGACTGAAAAAAAAACACCCCAAGCATGAACATTCTGTCTTCTTCGAAAGTCGGAACACCAAAACTTCTCAAACCAAGGCAGAGCCCTGAATGTTTCGACTGCTTTTTAAGGTCCCTGGAGCAGGTTTCTCTTTAAAAAATAACAATTTAAAAAATGAAGAAAATTAAAATAAGTTTGAGCACTTTATTAAATCATCGCTTTACACACCATTAAAGTACAATATAACCAATTTTGCTCATAAGTCAGATTAAATTGCTTACGCATTAATAGCTCGAATTATATCGCTGGTTAATTGTCCCAAATGACAAATTAGCAATTTTTAATCTATCATAACTTCACAAAAAATTTAAGTTTGAGCTCAAGACAACAAAACTTTCCAAAAGATTTTTAAAAAAAATGTCAAAAATGGATAATTAAAAATTCAAAGCATGTCTAGAGAAAGAAACCTTCGCAAATAGTCAGAACAACAACAGAATATTCATACTGAATATTCTGTTCTAATGAATATCGTAGATCAAAATTTAAGTTTTCAGTAGCATTTCTCATTGATTTGATGAAGTTAACTAACTACAAAACAAATTCAAATAAGTACCCCATTTTTAACAAAAAAACTGAAACTATAACTCTTATTAGTCACTGGGGCGGCAACGCATAAGAAAAAACTAAAAACTAAAAACTCTAAACTCATTTTTTTAAACTTTTTTCAATAAAAAGTTTTCGCAGACGAGACAAGTTAAATGGCAGCTGTAACTTTCAAGTATTTGTCTTACTTTAAGCAGTTTTTTTCTGATTTGTATTTGTTCAAATGAAATCTGCAAGTTATATCTGCAAAATGATGAAACAATTGTACAGTTCAAGATTGATACATCAAAAGTTTCTGAGGCCTTTGATGCCAAAATGACCAATTTCAAAGACATTCATTTGTCTCTTTTGCCATTATTTCTGTACTTTGAATGCGCCTTCTTTGTGAAAAGTATACTCTTGCTATTGAGAAATCTGTCATTTCAAATCTATTGATCATATCATGGTACAATATGCAGAGTTAATCAAAGGGCGTATGTCTTTCAGGCATAGATTTGAATAAAACGAGGTTAAACCGCAAACCCCGGGCAAACCATGTGTAAATAGAATCTGAATTTGACAGAGGTTGACACATTTATCTAGAAATTTGACTCAGAACGAGTCTGATAAGAACCTATCCTAAATTAAGTTCTGGTGAAATTTGATAGAAAGTGAACACGAAGTGTGATTCATTCATCCATGATACTTTTCTTCAGTTACAAAAATAGCTCTAAAAATTAGGTTTAAAAAGACTCCGGAGTTGCGATAAATTGTTTGTGATAAAAATAATTAATTCGAAGACGAAAGAAAGTGCTTTTCTATTGCTCTTTAATAAAAATGGTGGACACCAAGTCCCAAATTCTTAATTTGGTGATCAAAGAGGGGGGGATGGGGGGGGGGGGGTAAATTTAGTTTTCTGTTAGCGGATAAGGGATAAGGGAGGGATGTCTCTAAGTAACATTGTCTGTCAACTTAAGGAAATGGTCCGTTTTTCATCATTGAAGTTGCATTTGATCATCGTTACGTCGCATTAAATCTGATTTTTAATCTTTTATGGTGCATTTGCCATCAAATTAGAAACTAGGACGGAATCACCAACTGATTCGAAACAACGTGAAATATTTTCCCCTCATATACCCTTTATATATTTCACGCACATTAAAAACCAATCAAACACCAAATGCCCGCATTTTGCGCAATTGGCATCATGTCAATATGATCAAAAGAACGTAATTTCCTTCTTAACTCAATTTCTTTTCACAAAAGTCGATTGATTAACACGAGCATAAAATTTGTTTAAAATGCCTCCGGTTATAACTTCACCGAAACCATTTTATTCCAAATAGGTCGTTTTCTGTTTTCTCACTTTTATTTTCTTTCCTCCCGAGGCCTGTTAAAAGAACATAAACTTCATTTTTAGACTTTTATATTTACTATTTACGTAACATCCGTGCGATTATTTATTAGCATTAAATACAATTCAATTCCTACCATGTGCGCCATTTTTTAGTCTTCATAATTCACAAATATCATTTCTTCTCATGAAATTTCTGTTATTTTAAAATTGCATTACACATTATTTTTGTAATTCTGAACACATTATTTTCGTAATTCTGAAAACTTTCCCCATTTTAAATTACCTGTATGTTCAATTTGAAAAAAAAAATACAAAACATAACTTTCATAATTCAGCAATGCTTAGAACCTCCAAACTATCTCTTTAACCCTTAGGTAAGTGGCTCGATTATATAAAAAAAAAACCATCCACTCCAAACATATTTTCCACTTTTTTAACCCCAGTCTCTAGCAGTTATTTCTTGTTAAATGGCTCTCAATTCATCTTTTTAAGGATTTTATAGCCCTTGAATATCGACTGGGGTTTTCAGCTTTTGACATACCGCAGGGAAATAAAAGACGAAATTCATAAAAGAGAGGTAAAATTCATTTGGGAGCTACACTTTCCAGACTGGTTTTCTCTAATTCAGGTTACAATAAGTCATAATATCGAAAAAAAAATTATCCGAAATTAGAACAAAAAACAATCAAGAACAAGATTTTGAAATTTTTTCATCCCAATCAAAATAAAAAGCTAAAATTCATTTTATTTTTATGGTTCACTAAGGGAAAATTACAAATTCAAAAAAAAAAAAATCAGCCACAAATTGAGCATATTTGTTATCAAAAACGATAATTAGGGAACTAAGTGGAACAGTCAAAGCATTTCAAATCATATTAAAAATAGCTACTAGATCTTTTCCATTCTGTTATTTGTGATTCTTCTCTTTGAATTATACTTTTAATCTCATTTCCAATTTAGCCCTGGGCTGGAACATTACCATCCTCAGAACTATACCAGCAGTAGAAAACAGAATCATCATCATTACCTATTTCTTTCTTCTTGTTCTTTCGGAGTCTGGAAGTCTGAACATGTCAAACGAAGGAAGTAACGAATGCAACTATGCTCAGGTAATTGAAATGCTTCATCCAATCTTGAAAAGTTCATTTCGTCTTTGATGTTTGGTTAGTTTTGATGTTCTCCATTTTCATTTTTATTCTGCCAGGGTCTAAGACCCCTGACGGAATAAAAATTGAAAATGAAGAATATCAAAATTTTCTAATTAACTTATTAATTAGTTAATCAAATTAATTCTCTTGCCTGCGAAATTCAAAAACAGAGGAAACGACTTGATTTAGCTCTCAAAATTAAATTTTTGTCATTATTGTTTTTTGGCTCTAGTCAGAAATTACTTACAGCAAACAACAAGAACAGTGACTTGGGCCGTGATTGTGCATATTAAACGCGGTGAAGACGAAAGAGTTAATTGAAAAATCAAAAAAGGACAGCAATTGAATGCTTAACAGAATTACAAGTCTTTGTTTTGGATTCCATAAAACTAACCTTAACTTCATAATTAACCTCAAATAATAAGAAAGAAAAAAGCTCCAGCAGTAAAAACTCTAATCTGTGGAACTTTGAAACACTTTAGGAGCTCTACGCCTTTTCTCTTCCAAATTCTTTTCGACAGAGAAAGGTAGGTTGCTTACACTACTTTTGTTTTCTGGTACCAAAGTCAAATATTTTAAAAATTTTGTAAGACACTAAAACTTGCAGAATGTTCTAACAACTTTTTGGCTTATATTCAAAATAGCTTTCTTCAGTGGATCGAATGATGACCCCTGGGGAACGCCTATGGAAAAATCGGACCTTTTCTTCTCAATAACTTTTCAGAGGATAAACATTTTTCAAAATTTTCAACATTTCCCTTTCTGCCCATCGACAGCTCGAGTTTAACCAATAAACACTCTTCAAACTTTGTAACCATTGTCAAATTATTTGGCGTTGCTTTTGCCAAATGAAAACTGCTTGTCCTGGTGAGTATTTTCTAAAACCAACATAAGAACAGCACAAAATTGGAGTTTTTTCAAAGCCAGTCGTTATTCCTATTGAGTCAGTTTCCGCCAGAACTTAACAAAAGGTAGTCCAATTTGTTAATTTATTCAAAAAATTTGCTCATATTGGAATGTAAAGTTTCAAAACTTTCTTATAAATTCTATCAACACTTTCTTAGCTTGAACTTTCAAAGGAACTCATTGAATGAAAATAAATAAATGAAAATTCAGGTTAACAATTTCAACCTTTTATTATGTTCTCAGATCCGTACGTAAAATTACCAAGATCCGTGCGTACGTTAAAAAATCAATCTAACGGGCAAAAAACATCATACTAATGACATGTGAAAACATGTGATGATTTTTTACTTCCCACAATTGATACTTTACGTGATCATTTAAGCTATCTCGGGTTATTTTTTTTTAAACTTCAACTGCGCATGTCGTTTTTGATGATCGTGTAGAAAATTTTGATGGTTTTCAATAATGCTTTTGTTTTTTCAAAGACCTGCTATGTTTTTTGTTCAAAAACAAATATGCAGGTTTGAATAAAATACCGTTCTAGAAAGTTTATTTTAAAAATATTTCTTTTTTACTGTGCGTTTCATTTTTGCAACTCGCCAAAAATTTAAAAAAAAATCTGTCTGGATAAATTGTATGGTGCAAAGTGAAACATAGGAAAGGGTTTTAGCTGGAAATGTTTGCGTCATCAACTGAACCCTGCTTTACAGATTGCCTTCTGAAAACAATACAGCGTATTCCTCATAAAACCTTTCAATATGTTCAAACTTTTATACGCGGAACCCACTCGCAATTTTGTCGAAGAATTCAGGGTCAAATATATATTGAAATATATATTCTTATCGGCTCATAAAAAAGTGTCGCTGAATTAGCATAAAGCAAATTAAGTGACTAAAAGTAGCTTCTTCATTTTTAACTAGGTTCCAAATTCGATAGCTGATTCCGCATTTTTATTACCTCAGCAAATACCTTCAGCACAAAAATTGGGTTATAGTTTCCATTTTTACACTAAATTAGATTAAAGTCAGAAAAAAATACGCGGTGGAATTCCAAAGTTGCTTACTTCCGCAACAAATTTCCATGGATTTCATCGTCAGTCTCTTTAGAACTAGAAAGATTCCCCTTTTTTAATTAAATACCAGTAGGTTATGAAGTTAGTATTTTTACAAATCTATGGAACCAACTTTTTATGAATTATATATATTTTTTTGCTTTGTTTTGATCTGGCATCACTAATTTGTTTCACGAAACTATTTTGAAGGTAAAAATGTCTTGGCATAATTGTTTTCGTTTAATATGTTTTTATGGGGATTGCAAAAAAGTAACAATCATATCTGTTGAGAAGCAATTTGGGTTTTTCGGAAAACATCGCGTCGGGCAGCGTATTCAAATGAAATTCCGGCCGGACAAATGAGCAAATTTATCAAAGGTGCTGCGATTTTCTTCTGCGTCTATCCTTAATGGTGAAAAGCAGGAACATAAAAGCACTAAACTAGAGTTGAATACTGGCTTGCAATTTGTTGCGACGTTAATTAATCTTTAGTTCAAAAAAGTGAATAGTGTGAATTTAACAAGGAAAAAGTGTGAAAGAAAAAACTAAGGCAACACAGAGAGGAGTTACCAAAGTTGACTCGTAAAAAAGTTCATTAATGTCTTCTAAAAATTGACTTTGCGATTTTCTGCTCAGTTTAGTTCTAAGATGCCTTGCTTATTAAGAAAAATCATAGTGAAGAAAAACGTTTTGATGCTTCACTTCTTTAGCATATTTTGTTCCAGTTCTGAAAAAAAAAGAATGAAAGTTTGAAACATGTTTTGATTTTATTCTACAAGAGCTTGGTGTTGCAACTTTCTGTTTTGTCAAACTATTCGATGTCTCTGTTTGACTTAAAAAAAACCGGAACTTTAGACTTAACTCATATTTATTTCAATGGCCATGGTCGTTTTTTATGTTTTGTTTCCAGTCAATGCAGTTTTGTGATCTACATTATTACATCACATCTTAGTGAAAAAGAAAAAATGTTCAAAAATATCATTAAAATGGCAAACAAAATCTTGAAGCAACAGCAATGAAAACCACTATCAAAAAATGAGATCTAACAATATTTTATTGCAGAACATAGGATCATTGAACCAAAACTTCGATACTAAAAGTTCGTAGGTATATTGAACGCGAAACCGCCACCATTAGTATTTGCACTTACAGAGACGTGATTGATTGACGACGTTGAAGCAGGTCTGTTTTTGTTGAAAAAAAACATCTTATTATGAGAAAAGGTGGAGTGCTCACAATCGTTTGTACAAATTCAGAGATGGAGTTGTTTAGGGAAATGAAAAACGAAAAAAAAACTCCCTGGTACTTTTAACACTACAAAAAGCACCACAAACGAAACCAGAAGAATTCTTGGTTTGCTTGCTAAGTACTCAGGATCAATCAACAATCAAAGTGCAACCAAAAACACGAATGTACTGTGCCGCGATTTTAAGATTGACAAGACCAAAAACATCAACATAGTGTTCAGTCTGAAAAACACTCTCAAACACGCCCAGATGAATGAAAATAAAAATACAAAGTATGAGGAAAAAATGTGAAAATTGCAAAACATGTTTGAGTTAAAGCCAAGGAGAGTCAAGAAACCTACGACCAAAGCAATTTTCTTATTTAAAAATTAATCTTGCTATTTGGGACTGGATATCAATCCTATTTAAAAAATCGCTGTCTGAATGCAATTTCCCTAGATGCCTATAAATGGTATAAACTCACCTGTTTCATAAGAGTGGACCATAGACAAAAATAAACATTTATAGACCAGTAACTTTAATTCCAACTATGACAAATTTTTTGAAAATTGTATGTTTAAACGGATAATTGATTTTTTGAAGAAGTGTGAAATTTTAGCTGATGAGCAATTTGGTTTTCATAGTCAGCGAGGCGTAGTTGAAACAATGACTGAGTTAACTGAATTTAATAATTCTACTTTCTATTTTAGAATGTAAAAATTAAATGAACGTATCAATTTTTTTAAGCCACAAAAGTACGCTGACTTGTACAATGCTTGGTCTTTCAAAAGCTTTTGACAAGGTTGACCATGAAATTCTTGAAAAGAAAGGTAAAAATAGAAGTTTAAAATCAACTTATCTGAAAGATTGGTATTAATATGTAGTAATGGAGAACTCGGTATCTAGTTCAAAACCTGACGCCTATGGAGTTACCCAATGGTCAGTTTTTGGTCCTTGCCTTTTTCTAATCTACATAAACGATCTGCCGAAAGTTTGTGCGAACTCAAAATATTCTTTTATGTCGATGAGTGCAGTCTGATTAGTAACAAAGATGGAAGAAGCCCAAAACCAACAATTTGGAAAGTGCTAAGACTTGGCTGGTTGAAAACAATTTAACTCTTAACCAAGATAAAACAATATATGTAGAGTTTGGATAAAAATCAACCCAAATGATCAAACCATATGCAGACACGTCCCCAAAGTATCTTGACCCCTATTTGAATGATAAACTGAGTTGCATATTCAAAAGTTGCATTTTCAAATAACTTTATAAAGAACATTAAAAAATGCGTCCAGCATATACCCTTGCCGCAATTTTTTACTCAAAACCAACTTCTAGTTATTTACTCAACTTATATTCCACCAATTTATTAGTACGCTGTACTGACATATGGAAATGCTACTAAAACCGAATTAGTGAAAATTGAAAAACAACATGAGCTGATACTTCGAAATTGCTTTAATTTGCGAAAAACAGAAGATTTAGTTCTAATACACCTATGAGTTGCATATATATGAAAGCTGTTGAAGTTAAAACTAAAATCAAAAAATCAAAAGGAGGCAGCACCCATGCTTATTAATTGCCGACCAGGAAACTCTTGACGCATTCTCAAATAATAAACGTAATTTCAGGTTACGAAACACAGAAAAAATGACGAGCCACAACAAGAAAAAAGTTAAAGTTAGGGATGGTTCATTATTTAATTATGTCCTAGGGTTGATTAGGCAAAAGAGGGTTGGCTCTAAAAAGGGTTGGCATACATATGTCATAACGAGTTTTTGATGAATGTTTATTGGTAATCGGAAATCACCTGCAATCTTCGTTGTTTGCTCATGAAGACACCACTCGATAGGCAGCTAATTGACCTTTTTGATCTACTTCCAAGATGGTTTTTTAAATATTTTTATAATGGAGTCTGTTCTATCCTTGAAAACGAATCTTTTATATTGAATGATAACTGATTGCTTTGTAAATAACTTTAAACCCTTCTCAGTGGAATTATATATTTTTAATGATTTCAAATCATTTTTCGCTCTTAACCTGTCTTTATTTTTCAATACTGTTATCAATGTAGTGGCTTTTGCATTTTTCTTCATTTTTTCTAAGTTTTTAGATAAAAATTTTTTCAAACTTTAAATTTAACAACAGTTTGATAAACTTTGGAATTTTTTCCTCATTTTTTTCTCAAGTTTTTAAATTTAGATATTTGTAAGTTCCAGATTTGACACTAGTTAAATAACAAAAATCTAGATGGAATACAAACTTGCTTTGTTATAACCCAATGAAACTGTAATTTAGAGGATAACTTGTAGCCATAAGAGTACTATTCTATGATTTCCAATGTTTTATTGTTTTTTTCTTAGCAAGAAAATTCGCACTGACCCCAACTGCAAAAACTCGTTCAATGCAGAATTATCTGGATAAAAGCTGAAACCCTTATATTACTACTGCTGCTGCAACTTGGTTTCAGGCAATCTAGAGTTTGAAGTTGCAATTGTAATATCAAGGTTATAGCATTTTTTCTGAGCAATTTGTAAGACAACGTGCTTTTGAAGCTGGGTTCATTTTGAATTTTTACCCTGACAACTAAACAAAACAGTAAAATGCAAAGTAGGTTGAGACTTTTTCACAAACAAAGGTTCAAAGAATAGCGCAATTAAAAAATTTTGATGCATTTTTTTTCAAAATTTTATTATGCCCAAAGAAGCTCACATGCATGTAAAACCCTCACTCTTTTGAAAATAAACCGCAGTTTATAAATTTGAAACAAAAAATTTAAAAGCCATAATAATTTATTTGAAATATTAAGTCTCCTTAAAATATGCTTTCCTTATTTCTAGTTACCTTTATGCTTAATCTGCAAAAGTCATTCATCAAATCTAGAAACAAAACACGAAAGTTATCGTAAAACGTCTATTTCACAACTTGCAATATTTCGATATGGGTTTAAGATTATGGATTATAAAACATTGAGATTTGGGTTTTAGCATTTTAGTTTTTAAACAAAAATCACGAAATTATCGATTAAAGTCTATTTTGCAAATTTGTTATTTCGGTTCATGGTTTAGGAAATTCAAAATTATTACCCATTTTTTTTTCATTTTGGTTGCTTGAAAAGTATCCTAACGGGTCCAATACGGTCTAGCGCACTTTTTTGACCAAGACAGTTAAAACAAACTAATTTTTAGTCAAGACAATCTAATTAAATTTGGGTTAGTTTGAGCAATTATCTTCGAACAAAAAACATGTATGAGCAAATCCAAAACCGTGAAATTGCATGCGAGAAAACCTAAAGTTGTCCAAATTGGTCTGAGACGTTCAAAACATGATCGCATTCATCAGTTGATTGAGTTACAAAAAGTAGCAAAAGTGTCAATATGTAGCTTTTAGGCCACGGTTTTCATAATGAAAGTGGAAAAAAAAATTTGCGATCATAACCAAAACATTGAACGATTTTGTTGAAAATTCGCTGTTACAGCCCGAAATGAGCGGTGAAACTCGCGGCGCTGCAAACTCCTCTCCTCACAAACAACTGCGCGACAACGTTGGGAAGAACCATCCAAAGAGTGAACACAAACAAAACAACCGAGTCTCATTTTCCGAACTCAGTGTCGCTTCTCTCAGTCTCCTTAGAGATGAGTCATCAGACCACCTGACCGAAAAGACAGTCCAACTGCGCAAAATTTCATCCGGGGGTCCGAAAGAGCCGGTGTTGCCAGAAGACGTGGTCACTGTCCCGTCGCATCTCAAAGATAAACCGGAGGGATTCTTCCTCAAACATAAACTGGAAACATCAGTTTCTACAAATGACTCTCCATAATTTTGATATCACATTGTTTAGATATAGGACACACAATGTGTTAGAATTCGAGATGGATATGCTTGTTATTTTTTCGTATAAATATCTGGCTCCTAGAAAGACTTGTTTAATTGTAATTTTTCAATAAACTGCTGAATAAACACCTAGCGACAAATTTGCAGTCAGTGTACAATATTGGGCTACTCCTAAATAATGAGCTATTTCACTATATCGAGCGCCAGGTGAATCAAGATTTTCTTGAGTGTGTTGAGTGTGGAAGGGGACTTTCAGAAGCGCCGTTCCTTTTTTTTTCATTTTTGGAGCGTTTCTTTTTTCAAAATTAGTATATATTGGTGTCGGAAAAGTCTTAAAATAAATTTTAAAATTCGCGAGCCAAAAAATCATACCATAAAGTAAATTCAAGCCTAGGCTCAGCCGCTTGCTAGCCTAAGTCTGCTCCTGCTGAGCTCCTCTAGCTGGGTCTCAAATGGCTAAGGGACAACGTTGGAGAATCGCAAGCATCTATTTCAAAACGCAAACAAGACTGCTCGTACCAGGGCGAAGCCCTGAATGTTCCGACTGCTTTTTAAATCTATAGAACAGTGTTCGTTTCATAACAACTGATGATTTTTTCAATAAAAAGAAACCATTTTTTTATTTGAGATTTTTTTGAAAATCATCAAGCCCACGCACTATATAAAGTACAAACTGATAGATTTCGCTCTTGGTGAAATAGCAATTATGGCAAACAGCTTGCTTCAAGCAATTCAATTTCTACGAGGGAAAAAACTTTCGCTTACGAGCTCATAGCGCGAATTATGTCGCGCGTTAATTGTCCAAAACTGGCCGAAATGGTAATCCTTAGTTCCAATGACATACAAAAAATAATTACAGGGGAAATATCTTTTTGATTTGGAGCTCAAAAAAACAATACTTTTCAAAAGAAATAAAGAAATTGCGTCAAAAATGGCCAGTTAAAGGTCAAAATTTGTCTAGACAAAAAACCACCCCGAGCACAAATATTTCGTCACTTTCTTCTAAATTCGGAACAAAAATCAACCAAATCAAAATTTGTTTGGAGTTTGATGCGCAAAGAAATAAAATTTCTAAAATTAGTCTGCTAATTACGTCTGAGCACTAGGTCTAACTAATGATACTTAAATTTTATTAGGTCTGAAATTAAGCCGAAATATCTGAACCATAATTGCCTGGAAAATCTCTTATTAGAAAAAATTCAGATATAGTTCTTGAATATTCCACAAAAAGGAGATTCAGCTCGATCAAAATTTTATTATTCTATCGGATTTTTTTTCTAGATCAACTAATTCGTTTTTTGATTGAAAAATGGAAAAGTTTAGTGAAAATTTGCTCCAGGAATTAATTGAACTATCAACAAAAACTTCGATTGTGCCTGCATCAGTTTTTTCGGATCTTGTATCAAAGTTTAACTGAAAAAAAATGAAAAAAAAAATGACTAAACAGTAATTTGATCTTACAGTTTGCTATACCTTTGCTTTTAAAAGTCAACCAGACTGCTCGTATCAGGGCGAAGCCCTGAAGGTTCCGACTGGCTTTTAAGGTTTATGGAGCAGTATTAAATAGAAAAAATTAAATGAAAAAAAAACAAAATGAAACTTTTTTCTAAAATTTGATTTTTTTTTTAATGAAAATCATCCCCCCACACGCCATATAAACTACAAAAGGATAGATTTCGTTCCTTGTAACAAATCAATATGGCAAATAAGCTTCCTTCAACCAATTTGGAAAGATTTCTAAGACGGATTAATCCTCCGCTTACGCGTTAATAGCGCGAGTTATATCGCGCATTAATTGTCCCAAATTGGTCAAAATGGCAATCTTTAAACCCTCATAACATTACGAAAAATGATCACAGGTGAAATACCTTTTCAAATGTAAGCTCAGGACAACAATACCTCTTGAATGATTTAAAAAAATCCGTCGAAAATGGCTAGTTAAAAAGTCGAAATTTGTCTGAAGAAAAAAAAAACCCCACCCCGAGCACAAATATTCCGTTACTTTCGTATCAAAAGTCGGAACAATAAAGAATACAACGATGACTATTATAGAACAATAACTATGAAATTAGATAGAATACTATTCTAATAAAAATAGACCAATAACTTTTATAAATGAGTTTGTTTTATGCTAATATGAATCATTTATTCTACTTTTGACTCAAAAAATTACAGGTTGTTTAAAAATTTTTAAAAGCTGGCTTGATGAAAACGTCGTCAAGAAAATAAGTTTTGCGAACGAGTAGGGAAAAATAGGCCAAGAAATTCTTGAAAAATTGTCAGTTTGCATAATATGGAAACCTTGAAATTGAAAAATAGAGTTAAGGAGTTTATTATGGAGATGTTGATTTTGTCACGGAACAATATATGCATCTGTCAAGTTTTTCATAATCAACTGAGCTCTGTCTGATGGATTGGTTGTTGAAATCTTTTATTTGAAATGCGTTCAGCGGCAAGCTTCTGTTTTATTTGTGATGAAAATTGAGTTGTCACAAAAATGTTGTGAGGCGTTGAGGACCTTAGAACAAAGTATCGCATTTTAACTAGTTCAGTCTTCATTAAAGATCTCTGATCATGTTTGAATTGACCAAAAGATGATGATTTTGTAGCTTTAAAATCACTTAACCAGTTAAGTTGTAAAACCAGAATTTGTGTTATGATCTAATCAAAAAATATAGACAAGAAGCACAGAGAATATTCTTCAAGGAATATGATTATTATGCAATCTGGTAACGTTCTTACCTTATTTTAATCACTCCAGGATGATCCTTATATATCAAAAAAGAAATAAAATGAAAAACGTTTTTTTTCTTGATCAGCGAACGGTTTTCAAGTTTCCCCAACTTCACTCTAAAATTACACAACTTACTGCAGTTTGTGCAGGTAGTTTTGTCAGTTCAATCATTCAATCAATTTCATGAATTCATATACAAACGCAAATCTTGGGCGCAAATCATCGACTGCAGTTTTTTTATTTGTTTTTGTTATGTTTAGGATGACGTTAGAGTCAAGTAGGTTGGGTTCACAGAGTCGTCCACCAATAAATACTGCCATTAAAAGAAACAATGTTTTATTTTTAGGTGTTTTTTATTCTCAAGGGAGCTATCACGCTTCCAAATTGCATACCATATAACACAATTTACAAACTTTTTCAAAACTCATTTAAAAAGATAGGAATTTTTTTTTCATTTGATGTATAGCTCAACACATACCTACTGTTACTCAATACATTCAAATTGTAACAGAGTTGGGTTGAGAAGTTGTATCCGAACTAATCAGAGCATAGGTTATATGCTCAAGGGCATCAAAATAGGCCAAACTTGATCTGCGACGGTCAGAGGAAGTTGAATACCACGTGATAGAAAAGATATTCAACCTTGATATTCAAAATAGAGGTAGTGAGTTTATTATGGTGATGTTGATTTCGTCACGGAGAAATAAATACATCTGTCAGGTTTTTATCAGCAACTGTGCCCTGTCTGATGGATTGGTTGTTGAACACTTATCATAATAAATTAGCTCAATTAATTGGAACAATTAATTATCACAGTTAATTGTTCTTAATTATCATAATACTAGCTGGAAAGACGTTTTTTTTCAGAAACAAAACCTACGTTTTCAGTGTGTCTCCGTTCTTTAATTGAGAAACTTGTGCATTATTTGAAACACTAGAGCAATACTTAAATATTGCGCTAGTACTAGTACAATAATTAAGTAATGCAACAGTGTTTCAAATAATGCACTTGCTCTTCAAATCAGAAATTGAAAAACTAAAGCAAGCAATGTATTTCGTACACTAGTGGACAAAAATAAGCGCAAACTCAGGTTTTTATTCTCTAACACGCCTGTTTTCAATGTCCAGTCTTGATAAAAGTTACTTTGAACTTCATAAAAATTTTTACATAGACCAAGAGCAAATGATCGGAGCTATCTTTTAAGAAACTATCAAATGATAGTTTTAAAGACTTTCCAATCTAACATGGGTCTGAAAATGCCAGTTTTCCTCATTTGCAATAAGATTTTTACTATGCGTGGAAAAGTAAGCAGCGTCCAAATTTGGTAAATTTTTTACACTGGTTGTTTCCATTTTCTCGCTGAGATTGTTTCACATTGCATGAATCATTGTTTTACTCCGCTAATTTGAGAAATAAATCACTACGGTGCAAAACTTAGTGCAGATGCGGATAACTGGTGTTTTCACACCAGGATTACATTAAAAATTATTAAAACTAAATGTTGATAGTTTCATAGAAGGTAGCTTTGATCATTTGCTCTCGGTCAATGTAAAATTTTTAATGAATTTTGAATGAAATACTGTCCAAAATGGACATCAAAAAACTGTATTTAAGAAGATAAAAACCTGAATTTGCGCCTAATTTTGTCCACTAGTGTAGAACAATCAACCAAATCAAATTAGGAAGAAACAATTGCGTGTTAGCGTTTAAATTGTTTCAAATTTGTATTTTTGCTCCATTTGTTATCAATTGTTTTAAACCAGATGAGCAACAGCTTAAATTGCATCTCGAATTTTTTTAACATCTCGACACTGCGGGTCTCAAGGCAATATATAGCTGTTGCTTATGTATTACATCAGACATATTTGTTTGAACAATCAAACAAACAGAATAGAAAGTACAATTTGTGCTGGCACGGAAACTTTTTCCAACGTTCGCATAATGTTCTCTCTTTTTTTGTGCTTTATACCAGATAAGCAACAACTTATATTGCATTTCGAAATGAGTTCAAAGTCGCGATTTGTGTCACAAAAGTGTTCGATGCGCTATTTACACTACCGGACAAAATTAAACGCGCCTGGTTTTTTCCTGTCTGAAAAAGCCAGTTTTTGCTATTTGTAGTAGGTTTTTCCTGTATGGAGGTGAAAAATTTTTTTGGATTAGTTGGAGTAGACGAACTTGATCATTCGTTGTGAAATACTTTAAGCGAGAAAACTGCGCTGTTGATTATGACATTTTTCCTCAGCTCTGTTGGTTCTTATAATATCACACCTTCAAAAAAAACTTTTTTGTCGATGCATTATTTACACTAAAGGATTCCAATGGTGAAAATTTGCCTTTTCAAACGAACTGATAAGTGAATCAAATCAAAATTTTAGAC